CGCGGTTTGGGCCCCCGCTCGGAGATGCTGCAGCGCTGGTGGTGCCGTAGGGGTGCGGTGCCAGCCCACAGTTCAGGGCAGCCACCCCCCCACCCCCACCCCCAGGGTCATCCAAACTTGGAGCCTGCCCTATGCTCCCCACTGAGCCCATCCAGCAAGAGTCCTGCCCCTGGGATGCATCCAGCCTGCACCAGGGCTGATCCTGCTCGGGGCTATGGGCACGGCGCAGGGCCCAAAAAGCAGCGGCCGGAGGGATGGGGGCACAGCTGTACTCAGGCCCTGGATGTTGTCCCCAGCCCTGTGCCACCGGTGCCTTAGAGACCCTCTTGGACCCCGTCCCAGCTCAACGCTTGCCAGGGGCAGAGAGGTGACACTCTGCAGCGAGCTTGGGGACTGCCCTGCACCGCCTAGGTGCACCCAAGGCCACTGGGGCAGTCACCCAGAGGGTGAATCAGCTTCAGGGTCCCTGGAGCAGGGCGGGAGGATGTGGGGTGCTGCAGGGGGGCCCTGCTCTGCAGAACCCTCTTGCTAGACAGCCCCTGGCACTGAAGTCACCTCCTGCCCTACCACAGACACAGAGTCCTGGGTCGCATCCTTCCCAGCCGTGCCCTGAGCCACGGCCCCGGCTGGGTGTGAGACCCCTGGGTGTCAGCGAGGTCCTGCAAGTGCCCCTGTTCACAGCAGGGCCTGGATGAGGAGGGGATGGAGCCCTGCAAGCCAACAAAACCCCATGGCCCTGCAGCCACCGAGGCTCAGCAGCAGCCACCACAAAGTGGCTCAGCAGAGAGTCAGGACACATCTGCTTGCTCCAGAGCCCCATCGGCCCCCAGGAGGGTGTCCTCATCCAACGGGACCTCCATGTCCAGCAAGAAATCCATGTCCAGCAAGAAATCCACATCCAGCAAGAAATCCACGTCCAGCAGGACCTCCAAGTGAGCAAGGGGTTGCCTCCTTGGATGGGGGGAGCCCATATTTGCCCATGTTTCGGGGTCCTCATGTTCCCCACTTGTCCTCAAGGCAGAAAAAGCTGCAGGACAGGAAGGGGAGGGTAATGGAGAATGGTGCTGACATTGCAGGGGGGCTTCCTCGTGGTGCATGGTACTGATGGCCAAGACGTATCCACCCAGGCAGGCGGTGTGCAGGAAGGACGTGCCAAAGGCAGATAAAGCAACGCAGGTGAGGGTGGGCAGCACTGCCCCTGCATACATTCACATGAATTCTTTTGGAAGCTTGCCCACACCCCAAAAACATGTGCCCATCACCCACACACACAGCCCTCAGCCCCCCAGGATGCAGCTGGGTCATGCCAGGGGCTGCATGTCCATATCTTCGGGAAGCTCAGGCAAGGATTTGGTGTGGAGATGGATTTGTTCAGCTCTGAGCACCCTGATGTGGCCCAGCCTGGGGTAGACTCCTGTGCAGGACCTGGGGGACGTTCTGGAGATGGAGGACTGGACCCTCCCAGAGCCTCCCAGATGGCGGCTGCCAGGTCCCTCCCGTTCCCCTCCCTGGGCTTAACCCATACTTGGACAGTGTTTGATGGCATGGGTGCTCCTTGCCCCAGACCCCCTCTTCCTTTGAGGTGTTACTGAAGGAAGGGCAGCCGTGGGGCAAGAAAAAGAAGAAGAAGAAGAAGAAGAAAAGCAAGTGCATAAGTGACGGCCAGGATCAGCTGCAGTGGCAAGCCTCGAGGCCCTGCAGTGCCAGGGAGAGCTGCAGCCAGGCATTGCAGCACAGAGCCCCCAGCCCACTTGAGGCGGCCATCACACCTCAGGACAGGTAACGCAGGGGCTGGCTGGGGTTGAGCCAGTCCCACCCCTGGGTGTCCCCACAGGGTGATCTGCACCCCCAAGGCAGAGGGAGAGGTGCTGGGCAGGGGCGTCTCACACGTGTCCGTCTGCTCCCTTGGTAGGAAGAGCATGTCCAGCCTGTGCATCAACCTGGACAGCAAGGAGCAGGAACAGGCTGTGCTGGAGCTGGAAGGTAACCCCTGCTCCTCCCCATCCAGTTCAGCTGGGTTTGCTCCATCACACGCCTCTGAAATCCTCTGTCCCGCCTCCATGACTCCAGCACACTGGAGAAAACAGTGATGCCATGTGCGCAGTTCAGGCAGGTCTCCATTTCCCAGTGAGCTGTGGGATGAGACAAGACCCACGTTTAGCTAAGCTCCTTGCTCCTTGATGCCAGTGGGCACGACTGCTTGCAGGATCAGGCCCATGAACATGAGGCCCAGCTGCTGGGAGTCTGGAGTGGCTTTCTCCCCCCAAAATCAGGGCTGCGTCGCTGTGCTGGCCAGCATAAAGGAATGTGAGCAGCCAGAGGTACCTCCTGGGTGGAGGTGGTGGGTGCTCTCAGCTCCCTGGGAGAAGCCATTTGCAAGCGGTAGAAACTCCAGCCCTCCTGAACCTGCAAATTTTGGGCTGCGTTGAGGCTGTTGGTGTTAGGGACCACTAGATGGTGATGTCTGTACACGCCCGGTCGGATGCTTTCCACCTTTTTGTGCTGCTTTCTGATCATCTCCCACTATGGACAGGGATCCCCAGGGAAATTTCCCCCATGGATGTTTCCAGAGAGCGGGGACATCCTGCAACCATCCCACAGACACAGCTGCTGCAGCAACGCTTCAGGCCGGGTTTTTTTAATGCTACTTTTATTCCTGAAAGCGCTGAAGTGCTCCCTCTTCTTGGAGCCCATTAATACATCAACTCCTTCTGATGTCTGTTAATAAGTCCAACAATGAGCAAAGCGCCTCCTGATGCAGCTAGGAGATGGTTTGAGGTGCGCTCTGTCCCATTCACAACCCAGAACTGTGTTTTCCAGGCTCTAGGAAACTTTCTGAACTGAAAGACCTCTCCCCATTGATTCTAGGGAAGCAGGTTGATGTTGGAGAGCTGTGTTCTCACCTAGCCCCAGAGGAAACCCACTTACCAGACCAGAATCACCAGGAGGCACTGGAGGACGTGGCTGTGGATGGTGAGTATATCGGCACTCTGGGATTGTGCAGGTTCTGGAGCATCTGCTAGGCAAAAAGCTTAAGACTTGAGGAAAAAGAGGAGAAAGAGCTGGAATAAAAAAAAAAAAAACAACCAAAGTGTTGAGATTTCCCAGGGCATAAAAATCACAGAATAATTCAGATTGGAAGGGATCTCAGGAGGCCTCTTGTTCAGCCTCTTGCTTGAAGCTGGGTCAAGTGAGAGATCAGACTGGGTTGGTCTGGGATTTATCCATTATAGGAGCTCCAGGGCAGTAAAGGAGTCAGGGTTCACCTGGGATGAAAGCGTGCCATGTTCTGGGTAAAGCTTGGACCTCCAGCCTACATCTGACCAAAAAGCCCTGGTTTGGGAAGCAGTTTTGGGGGAGATTCTCTAAAAGGACCAAATCTTTTGCAGTTATGAGAGTTCTCAGTGTTGCAAACTGCCTTTTTGGTGAAACATTTAAAGCTGCAGCCAAATGTCTCCCCACAAACTCATGTCTGTAGTTTGGGCTCTCCTTCCTCAAACATTGACCAAGCTCCATCTTCTCCCATACCGCAGGCGACACGGTTGACATCCAGGAGATGGACTCCAACGTGGGCACTGTGGAGGTCCCCTTAGCCAGTGAGGAGCTGCAGGAAGCCCTAGGACACACCAGAGGTGGGGACCGATATTTTCCTCCTTGCACCCTGCTCTTCCATGGCCCCTTGCAGCCAGCAACCCAGCAAGAGGCGCACGGGGAGGCTGCTGGGTCTCTGCAGCTCGTGCTTGGCTCACAGCTGGCTTGGGATACGCCGTGCCCTCAGCAGAGGTTAAATTCTCTCCATTTCTCCCTTCTCTTTAATCTTGTGTTGAATTTTTGCTTTGCATTATTTGGCACAGGGAGCATAGTGTGAACTCTTGTGTGTCTCAGCAAGATATAAATGCCGTCCCTCAGCGTATCAAAGGAGAAGGGGGCTGCGTCTGGAGCGTGTTACACATGGTGCAGCATGGCGGGAGGTGATGGGTGATGAATGGCCGTGGAGAGGGAATTTAATCTTTCTTGGCCTCAGCATCCCACCCGCCTGGGGGGAGGGAGTTTCACTGCATTATTGTGGCTACAGTC